GAGGGAGCTCTCTGGGGTCCCTTTTATAAGGGTACTGATTCCATTCATGACACTCCACCTTCTTGGCTTCATTACCTCCCAGAGGACCCACCACCTAACACCATCACCTCAGGGGTGAGGATCCAACATAGGGATTCAGGAGGACACAGATGCTCAGCCCATGGCAGCAGGGTCATTCCGTTTCCACCAGGTGTCTTAGACGAGGATGCCTGCGTGTCTCGGGGCTGCCTTCCATCCAATTCACTCGTGTGCGCTTCGCCGTCTTGCTACCACTTCTCCCCCATTCACCTGTCCATCTTCTGCTTTATCCAGGTCCCGTCTCTCTGCCCTGCTTTTCTGCGCTGGCCTCCCTCCTACCTGGTCTTTCCCTCCCAGCCTTTCTCTCCTTGAAGACATCCCTCACTTTACAGCCACATTGGTCCTCCCAGGTACCACTGCAATGACCTGCCTCTGCATTCATCCTCCGTGAGCTCCTGAAGCACCCCACATAAAGCCCCAGCAACGCAGTGTCCTCTGCCACTGACCTCACGGACTGGCCTCCGGCCACCACCTCCCTGCAGGAGAAGGTGGAAGGTGCTGTTGACACGCTGTCCCCAGGGCTTCTCCTAGGCCACCCCTCTTTCACAGGCCGCCTTCTTCGCTCTCATCATTGTCCTTCACTTCACCCACCTAAGAAACACCCACCTGTTTCCCTCATTCACCTGCTGCCCTTGGGACACAGGGTGCCCCCCATCATGTTCTTGAAGCACGTCGTGTGTACCCCAGCAAGTGCACCTGTCTGCCGTTTGACCCAACGCTGCCTAAGCTCTGAACAAAATCACATGCAGAGTCTGGGCATGGGGACTCACGCCTGTCAGCCAGCACTTTGGGAGACCGAGGCAGGTGGATCACCTGAGGTCAGGAGTTGGAGACCATCCTGGCCAACATGGTGAAATCCCGTCTCTACTAAAAGTACAAAAATTAGCTGGCTGTGGTGGTGTACACCTGTAGTCCCAGCTACTCAGGAGGCTGAGGCAGGAGAATCGCATGAACCTGGGAGGTGGAGGTTGTGGTGAGCTGAGATCATGCCACTGCACCCCAGCCTGGGCAACAAGAGTGAGACTCTGTCTCAAAAAAAACGAAAGAGTTCTGCTGAAGGCTGGGCTTGCAGGTGGGACCCTTCCCTTTCTCGTTTGCTAAGTTGCATCCTTTTGTGGCTTGCAGGTATCCTAAGCGTGATATTGTGGGGTGTGCCTGAAATCTTGGTGAGGGGCTCCAGTTCTGGGGATTCCTCCCTGTTAAAGGTCAAATTGTGTCTCCTGAAAAGATACGTTGAAACCTTCACCTCTGGCTCCTGTGAATGGAATTGGAATGCTATTTGGAAATAGGGTTTTTGCAGATATAATTAAAATGCAAGGGGTCATCGCAGCTCATGCCTGTAATGGTGGCACTTTGGGAGGCAGAGGTGGAAGGATCACTTGAGCCCGGAGTTTGAGACCAGCCTGGGCAACATACCAAGACTTAGTTTCTACAACAAATTACACAATTAGCCAGGTGTGGTGGCACACACCAGTGGTCTCAGCTACTAGGAAGGCCGAGGCGAGAGGATTGCTTCAAGCCAGGAGGTCGAGGCTGCGCTGAGCTGTGACGGCACCGCTGCACTCAAGACCCAGTTTGTAAAAACAAATGAAATAATCAAATAAATACAATAAAAATGAAATGCAAGTAGGATGGAGTCATGCTGCTGTGCAGTGTG